TCAAATGTGATGTCTAACCCTCAATTTAAAAAATAGTTGTGTTGACAACCACTTTGGAAAAGTGATCCAGAGGTTTTAATTAGAGGTTCGAGTGGATTAAGTTGTGGGTCCTAATTAGCGTGTGAGCCGTTGAGTTTCGGAGGTCACGGTGACCTTTTTGCGCTCGCTTTACCGCTTTATCAAATACTGTGAGTATAAGCCAAACCGAGGGGTGATGAGTGCCTGGAACGTGTTGGTAGCTGCTAGGCCACTTCCATCTCAACATCTGCCCTGCAGGGGACCACCACTGTGTCCCTCAAAGACAGCGGCTTAGGAAAACGTCCCGGCTAAATGTCGGGAGATGTTGGCACTTCGAACACAGCCGTCAAATGATGGAGAGCAGAGAGCACAGCAGAGTCGCTCGTTCGACACTCCCCACTCCTTCGCCAAGTCCAGGCATGGACCGGCCTCCTCCTTCATTGGTAAATATCATTGCCCAGTAAGTGTCTTTTTCCAACTTTATAGACTGGAAAGTAGCACGGCACAGCCTCTGAGGGATTAATCCGTTCCATCTCATCCATTTTCTTCTTTGGGGAAATGCGAGAACGTACATATGTATATTGTTGTGTTCAAAAATGAAGAAACGCCGGACGGACAGAGGTCATCGCAGATCAAAAGGTTAAATCAAATGTATTTAATAAAAGAGATGGCGTTGTGTTAAAAAGAACATCTCAGCTGAGGAGCCGCTGGGAGTGGTCTTCTGGTGAGTTCAATGTAACTTGGATTTCGAATGATCCATAGTCAATATCGGTTGTTGTGCAAGTATTACATGCATGCATTCCAGTTGATTACATTACATCAAATACAATCATAACTGCACATTGGTATTGTTCTATTACAGTTTCAGAATTACAGTGGTTTTACGATATTGTCATTACTTTATTGATTACAGTTTCAGAATCATGGCTGTATTCTGGTGTACACTATATGCATTTTAATTAATTTTATGAACCGGGTCGTATATTTGTTTCTAATATCCTACAATATGTGTGTGTATATGTGTGCGTGTGTATCAACTGGCAGCTAGCTAACACAGATCATGGCACGGGGGTGTTTTTTTCCAGATCCCCCACCATTCAAACGCTCCAACATGAATTAAGAACCCTTTAACCTCTCAAAGAACCATTTAATATCCCAAAGAATCATATGAAAAACATGCAGAACCGTCTAACGTTAAATGGTGTTTTTTTTTTTTGTAGAACCACGCTGCCTTCAAAAGGATTAATTAAGAACCTTTTTTGCTGTGTTCGGTGATTCTCTGCATTCTCGTTCTTTCCATTTTCTCCGACATTAGCACCTTTGTGGTCGAGCACCGAGCTCTACGTCGTTTTAAAACAATGCCGTGCTACTGCTGAATTTACTAATGAGGGTTATTATACCAGCACGCCAAAGGGGGCTCAAAAGGAGCACCAAGATGAAGACCGTTTCAACAAAAACTGTTTCAACACTGAATTCAAGCACTGATTTTAACCAACGTCAGCTATCGCGAAGACATTAAAAGCGGTCTTGTAAATTATGCTACTTTTCAAACAATACTTGTAATTAATGAATTCCTACAAGCTATTAGCACTCATTAGCAACTTTATAAAACCTGGGGGGAGAAAACATTAAATCTACAGTAGCAGAAGTATGAAATAAAGGTTGTAGGGCCTGAAGGAGCTGCTGGAGTCAATGGAACATTGAGCTTAGGCAAGAAGTAAACTTCTGCGCCTCGTTAGTCGGCCCGTCTTTATCAGAGAGGGCGAGAACAAAATATACCCGCTCGCGTCTATGCGTTTTCACAATCCTCTATCAGAGAATGTAGAAGACCTTCCGTGTATTAGTTTCTAGTGCCGTAGTTGCAAGGCAATGTAAATGAATGGGCCAAAATAAAACGTAGTATTGTCACGATTTGGGGGAGAAAGCGCGACAATACCACGTTAGTCCAACGTAGCTATTGGCTGTGAGACTGGGTTGGGTATTTATAGAGATCCGTAAAGGTGTGAAACGTAGCGTCCACACCTCTGGGAGTGGTCTTCTGGTGAGTCCATGTAATTTGGATTTCGAATGGCCCTCCGTCAATATGAGTTGTTGTGCAAGTATTACATGCATGCGTTCCAGTTGATTACATCACATTAAATACAATCGTAGCTGTACATTGGTATTATTCTATTGATTACAGTTTCAAAATTACAGTGGTTTTACAATATTGTCATTACTTTATTGGTTACATACAGTAGCTCCAGAATCATGTCTGTATTCTGGTGTACACTAAATGCATTTTATTAATTTATGAATCGGGTCGTCAGTTTATTTCTAATATCCTACAATTAAAAATGTCCCTACTGTTGAGAAATCGGTAACTGCACACCATACCTTCATTATATTATTTTATTCTGGTCCAATGAATATAATAGTACTCCTCAGTCAAATGCATAACGTTGTGCCTGTTGTAGTTGTGCTACAATCAGTTTGTAGATGCAGTAACTGTAGATTTACCGTACCAGTACATACATTTAATTTCTTGGAGAGGTTTATGGTATCTGACTAAACCAAATTCAAGTATGTTTTTCTGGCTGGGAGACAGAAACATGCCAACTAGCTAACGTTACCTGTAGCTAGTTTACTTAGCTAACGTTAGCTAACGTTAACGTTCAGAGTTCCTGCACATTTTGACCAATGGATGGCATACACAGTATTTTCCCTACCATTTTTTAAACCTTTACAATTATCCACTAGGATTGAGTATTGTTTGGGTTTTTCCTGATACCAGTGCTAAAAGGATACTTTTAAAACATACCGGTGCCTAGTGGCTGAACCAATACTTTTTTAAACTTGAAATTATTGACCATATATGAACTGATAACGGTTTACAAAATACGAGTCGGAAGTGTATGTATTATTTCATTGGAATTTTCGGAATATTAATCATTTAGTTTATGCTCATTGTGCAGGAACTAAAGATATGTAACATATATTGAAAAGCATTTATGTTGGATTGACGCTCCTTATGTGTCTCGATTCATTGACGTCATGATTGCAATGAGTGCAACACAGAAGAGCTCCATGAGGCACGAGAGCATGCCGTTTATCTACCGTGTGACAGAGTTTATTAGTTTTATATGAAGGTGGCGCTTCATATGCGCAAAATAAAGACAAAACGAAAAGAATCAAACGATCTCCTGTCGTGTATTTAGTCGTATGTGTAGGCTGTTAAATTGCATATATATACGTGTATACGTACATGTATATATTTACATATATATACACACACATCATTTCCTTTATTAAAGGTGTTTGAATTAAGTTATTTTACCTTCATTTTACGGTCTTTTGACCGTTTTCTTATGTTTTTTTCTTTTACAGTGTAGGTGTCTTGCTCGGGGACACTACACAGGACCACGATCTGCAGTTGTCACACATTAATATAAAACTAACATGATTTACCTTAAAATTACAAAGAAATAATTTAAACCTTTATATAATGACATCATTATCGTTATTTTACATTATTTATGTGCTCCAGTTCACCAGAACCTGTCCACCTGTAGGCGGTAAACTGCAGCGGGCGTGATGGATGGTCACAGCATCGAAGCATCTACGGGAGAGTTTATATAAGAAGCGCTTTGTCCTCTCGGCTCGGGGCTTGAAATACTTTGGTAGAAAGAACTGGAACCTGGAGGTGTCCTTCAGGAGGATTAGATAAAGACATGACGTACATGGATTTAAACCATCTGTCATTGTCATTCATCGAAGAAAGTAGATTAAACCAAAAGGGTCAACGCTCACATGAATGAAGGAAGGACACAGTACGAGGTTTGAATTTGTGGCACAAACCTTCATGTGGGTAAAACCTCACCTTTCTGTGGACTGTCGGTGATTGAAAAGAAGAAAAAGGACAGTACAGACCTCCCACAGCATCCCTTCCCCATCAGTGAGGTTATGAGGTTGGTGAATTTAGTTCAGGAGGACTGAGCTGTACTGCAGTAAAAAGATGATGTCCAAAGGTCTATGGGGACACGGTGTGCTTCAAGAAGGAAGGAATAGCCGTAAAAAGTGACTACTGATACACAGTAACTGTATTGTTTTACTTCTGAATCCAAAAAAAGCATCAAAAGCTGACGTGGCCGTGAGGAAAACTGAATTAACGTCCCTGACGGCATCCAGCTTGTGGCCCTTTATCGTCGCCCTTCTATCACGTTCACATCTCTTTGTTCAGCTTCATATTTAAGCTTTAAGCCCTCTGTGGCGTCAGGGGAGCGTGTCAACGCCATGAAAGCAGCATGCAGCTATCAAAGCCCAGATGAAACCTCTCCTTTTTGAAGTGTTGGACCCAATGAGCACTTTGGTTAATCAAGGTCATCCGGATGCCCACCACAAAAGTGTGATTTGCAAATGGAAAAATATACATTTGTTTTCTATTGAAAAATTGAAACTTCACTCCTTACTGATAGTCAGATAAAGCAATTATTACTCATGATGATTTAATTTGTCTTTTACAGGTTTAACTCCCTAGGTCGGATTATATTCTTGCTTAAATAGTTTTAAACCATCAGGCAGTAAAATGTGACCTCCTACCATCAGCAATCCGTTTCATTATTATTATTTCGAGAGAATATACATCTTTTGGCACGCCAGAGAGAGCAGCTCGGGGTATTCAGAGAGGGATGCGATCAGTCTGTTCATCCAACCCCATATCCAGCCCTTATGTAACCCATATCCACCCCTTATCCCCCCATATCCACCCCATATCCACCCCATATCCAACCCCTTATCCAGCCCATATCCAACCCCTTATCCAGCCCATATCCAACCCCTTATCCAACGCCTTATCCACCCCATATCCAACCCCCCATCCAGCCCATATCCAACCCCTTATCCCCCCATATCCACCCCATATCCAACCCCTTATCCGCCCTTATCCAACCCCATATCCAGCCCATATCCAACCCCTTATCCAGCCCATATCCAGCCCCCTTCGCTCCCGACGTCACCGCATCAAATCAACTACGCGGGGGTCCGGCTGTAAATCCTCCACTTGCGCTCCGAGCGGCTGGCTGAGCGCATCCCGGAACGCATGAAGCGCATTCGCGGTGACGCACGTGAACGCGCACTGATACCGAGCCCCAGGAGCCGGGACGCCGCGTGCCTCCTTTTCCTTTTTGCCATGTTCTTGTCTGTGTGTTTTCCGTCTCTATGTTCAACGCATGTCTCATTAGGACTAAAGTGGACGTTTTTTTTTTGCTGTTCCTTTTCTCGGAGCAGCTTGATTTGAAATAGACCAAGGTAAGACAAACCCTTTGGCTTCATTTGATTCATTCATTTAAAAATACATATTTTCCTTGTTGAAGTTTGAACATTGTGGCCCATCGGGGCGCACGGCTTTCTGGACAGTGACCCAAGGGGAGGAAGATGCGCGCTGCTCATCCATCTCTCCCCCAAACTGTTCCATCCGCTTTGGTCCACTGAGCCTCCCCACAGAGCCCGCTTTGTCCACAACTGCTCACTCATGCGCGTTTTTTTTTTTTTTTTGCCCACTCAGCTCCCTCAAGTTGTTCCATTCCGTGCCGAAAATGTGATGCGCCAAGTTCCCAACGGGGAAGAACGATCGGAAGCGAAAACAGCCCGTGGGAATCCGCACGTTTTCCACTACAGCGCGTGTGAAGTGCAACGACCGCAACACGCGCGCAGTGTTTGCGCGCACATTGTACCACAGTGCGCACTCTCATCCACCCCCCGCGCGGGTCTCTGTGCTGTTGATTGATTCAATCATTGATAGTGCGCGAAATCCGAGGCAGCTCATATCGGGGTAAAGTGGAATCCGGCTGCACGATGAACTAGAAAACACTGACTTTCTGACGGTGTCCTATAATAACGCATACGTAACGACCTTGAGTGTGATTTGAATAGAAACGTCATCTAGAACATCTTCTGGCCTCTTGACCGCATCCATCACGTTAGATGCGGATGCGCTGTGACAGCAGAGAAACATCCAACACGTCCACACTGTGGCGTAAAATAATGAGGTGAAATAGCTGTGGGATGAAGGTTGTCAGCGAGCTTGTGGAGCTGCACATTCCCCCGCTGCCCTCTCTCGTTTTGTGTGTCCGAAGATCAGGTTTTGTTTGGCATATCAGGTACATCTGGTAAATAACTTTAGGCCCTGTGCGTCGCTGGAAGCTTAGACTGATACGTCGCGACATAAGAAGCTGTTGTCTTTAGTTTTGCTTTAATTAATGGGCGTTAAACTGGGTGTTTAACTAATGATGCTGAGATTAGTTTAAAGTCCCTTAAGAGTTCTGATGTCAATAAAAATCGGCATTTGGGATGTTTTGCATACCACGGGTTTCTTTTTTGCATTTGACTATAGTGCAATATTTCAGTATATTAGTATTTTGACATATAATGATAAACAATGCAGTGTTTAAAAACTCAAAGACAAGGAGCTCACAGAGGCCGACGCAGCATGAACATGAAAT